ATTGATCGTCTTATTGGTCTTCATTTCTTCCTCATCAAGACCTCCCAGCTTCTTGTACAGTGATTATGGCATTATTAGGCCATGTTCGCATGTCTTATAATCCGTATTTTTCAGCTTGTCTTTTCAGTCGGAACAATGTTTTCTCTCTCACAACATGTTTGACGAAATGCATTGTCAAGGCTTGGACCAGTCAGCAAGCTATGTCAGCATGAGAAGCCCACGTGGAGGGATATGGACCTAAGTGATACGGCATACAAAGTTTATTGACAAAAAAAAAAATACACTTTCATAGTTGATGGACCTAACTGAAACATCCTCACAAGTTAATGGACCTCTGGTGCATTTAACTCTTGATTTTACATGCTGCACATTAATGGTTTTTGTTATTAAATTGTCAGGTCATTATCTACTTACATCAAGGACTTCCCACATGGTCATGACCACGCTGAGAATTGTAGATTGATTGAGTTGAACTAAAACAGATCTCTTTTTTCCCCCTAATATTCTTTCCATTCTATGATTTCATATCAGTCGCTCCCATCGACCTATAATTCTTCTTGCCTTATAGATTTATGTGAACCTTCCCCTGTATGTGCCACCATATTATAATAAAAATGATACAAGTCTACGTCCTATTCTTTGAAAGCAGTCACGAAAATAGAAAAGGACGTGAAGCTGTTTATATAGATTGATCTCATAAAAAAACAAACATTCCATTATTTTAAACATTAATTCTGGCTCTGTGCTGCTTCGGTTTAGCTAACAGGTGTTATGTTTCCATCCTGACAATAGGTTCTGTGAAGGACGTAATTGTAGGCCTGCATTACAACCAAATCAAGGTAGCCAATATTCTTTGCTGGACAATGTTACACTTTTGTTCAACATTTCATCATGACCTCTTTTAATTTCAAACATTTGCCATTCTTCTTCCATAGGGTGATTAGGAAAAAGGATATTTGAACTTAGAAGATTTGACTACAAAACAAAGCGCACGACCTCCTACGTACTATTGCCGTTTCTGAAAACTAAAACAACTCTGCGTACATAGTCTGCAGGTACAAATTCCTCCCTTCTAAAATTGGTGCATTGTGTCTTTCTTTATTTCTGCATATTTTACTTCGTTTCAGCACTATATGTTTTATTATTCTGCCTTTCTACTTTCCTACAGCAGTAGCCTGATTTGCTAATTACCTGTTGATTGTAGAGCAAAATGTTATATAGTGCCTACATACTCCCTTATTCCAATAATATTTTTAGGTGATCATGCGGTTGCCACTATCTCATCTTTGGTTCACAAATTCAAGGTTTGAAAGCAACAGATCATTAACAAGAACGGCATTATTATTTGTAATCCATCATTATGCAAAGTTTGCAACTTTTGCGGTGTGCTTTGTCATAATCCCGTTGCCTTATGCTCTTACTGAATACTCATCTCTGCAGTCTTGCTGTAGTTTTTTTTTCCACACCTGTCAATTCATAGTTTGATCTTTCTTATGACCACAGTGCGTCAGACTCGATCGGTCAACTCATCAAAGGCTTATAGTGCTCATAGCTCCAACCTCTTGGCATCATCGTCAGGACATCCTTCCACCATGCGTGCTTCACGCTTCTCCAATTTGACAAGGGTAGCGAATTTTTAGCAGCTTAGCGAGTTTACCTATTTTGGTTATGCTATTCATATGTAGCAGCAGTATGTTTGCTCAGTACCTTTGTACGCAGACTTTATTTGCGGCTTGGTATGCAAGAGGAAATACACACACATTTGTACGTGCTTATATGCTATTAGGCAATAAAAGGACGACTTATTGCTTCTGCATTTCTAGCCCGTGCAACGTGTTAAAATGGAGTGTTTAAATCATAATTGACTGACATATACCACCTTTGCCGCTGCATCTAAAACTGTTATACATTGTCTACATTGTTAGTCTCCTGCCCGCGCGAAGTGCGGGGTTACCCGCTAGTTTCTATATAATTGGTAGCAAATGAGACATGTCCACTGGTTGCAAGCCGCATGCTACCTAGCTCGCATCCTCCAGAGTCCAGAAGGAAGGTTTAATTAATGATCATAAATATCCCTTGGTGATTTGTTGCTCAAGCTCATTGAAGTTCCAAGCATCATTGACCGAGTATTCACCTGCAAAATAAGCCTTAGAAACCTTCACAAGCAACAAATCTTCACTGGACTAGAACTACAGCTGAACCATGTAGACAGTAGTCAAGAGGCACAGAACAGAAAATTACCTATTGAGTCTCTCCGCAAGGCAGTTAAATGAGCACAGCTGCAGGAAAATGTATAGACTGAATTTGGTCACCGAAATATATTAGCATAAAAGAGATGTCGATGGATAAGAACAGTTACTAAAATGAAAATGAGGGGAAAAGGAGCATGGGGTTATTCTACAATTAAACGACGAGTAATATCTTAAACTACATCAAGAAAAAAGAGGAGGAACAAGTATTTGGGTTCAGTGCAACAAATACATGAAACTAGCCAACTTCAGTAAAATAGCTAAGTTATTTTTTTTAAGAAAAACTTCCAGCCCAAAGACATGAAAATAATACTTGTGAAATATGAATATCAAACTTGGGCCTGTTAGTAAGGGTAAGTTCCAAGTGAGTACTATTAGTATGTACGCCAATTGGCCAAGATGGTACACTCGGTTAAAACTTTGGCAGAGCAAGTATAAGCAGGGTGCATAAGCATAGGCCCAAAACACATAGGGGCTAGGCTCTACGCAGACTTTTAGGCTTATGGTGTTCAATGAAATTTAGAACTCCGTTGGACACATAAAGTAACTTGCTACCACAAAAGGATGACAATAAGTGAAAGGATATTGCACAATCCTAACAACTGAAACATTTATAGAAACCTGAAAAGGAAATCTAAATGTAATCCTGACACTGTATCACTTAGAGCACATTATACATGCTGATGTTCATTTATGCAGACTGCACACACAAAAGAAAATAGAAAATAAGGCTAACACAGGAATAATTGTGCAAACCTTCCAAGTGTTTTACCCAAGTCCGCACATAGGGACCGAATGTATGTTCCTTTTGAGCAAGTAACACGAAATATCAAATTCTGTCTGTAGAATGCAACCCAAAAAAACATCATCAAGAGGAGTACAGGTAATTATATGAACACTAACCAGATATTTATTATCTGCTATGAATTCAAAAGTAGGAAAAGAGGAATGTAAGAATACCTATCTTCCAAACTGCGCTCAATATCAAATTGGTATATTGATATACGTCTTGGTGAAAGCTCTACTGTTTCACCCCTCCGTGCTTTGTCATACATCTTTTCACCACCAACCTGATTTCATGGTTGATTAACATTGTGAGCTTGTAAAATTTGTCATATATCTTTTGGAAATAACGCAACTTGTGAACTTGTGATTTCATGGTTGATTAATTGAGTAATAGGCAGTGTGACGGCAGATGAAAGATCTAACAGTAATATCAAACTGTATTAGGTATTATGACCAAATCCAACTATATCCTTGTCATTATTTACAGAAAGCGCAGTAAACAAACAAGTCCTGAGATAGTGTAATAACAGTAACCTATATGCACCTTATCTTTCTGTTTCCCCTTTTTTATCTTCATAGAATTAACAATATACTTCAAGTGGTTTGTAGCTTATATTATCCAAAAGTGTAAAATTGCTGAGCAGATTATCATACATGCATAACAAATAGTCAGCAAATCCCATGAACAACTCTAGCAGCATTCTTTTAAATAAATTATGTGGAAAATTAGCTTTGGGTACAAGAATAGTGTACCTTAATGGCAGAAAACATTGGAGGAACTTGCCATATCTCACCCTTGAATGATGCTGCTGCCTTTCTAATATCTTCATCTTTGATGTGTTCCCATGGTTCCCTCTGGATAATCTGATCATAGAAGTATGGTAGGCATTACTGTCATCTAAGCAGAATTGTAGAGATACAGATAATTTAAATGAAAGTTAATATTCAAAATAACTACACAGGAGCAGATTTGAGTAAGCACAAGTGGTTTAATTAATTATTTCAAGAAAAGGTAAAGATTGACACAATCAACTATTGAGATCTGAAAATAGAGTATGTAATTTCTGACACTTGTAAAGATAGGATCAACAAATTCTTGCATAATTACCTACTAAACTATATGTAGACTATATATGCTAATAAGGTGATGAACCTCTTTTTACATTTTAGGATAGAATCTTTCAATATGATTTCTCAGCAGCATTGACCAGAAGCATAATTAACTGTGAAAATAGAGTTAACAGCCACCAACTAAATGATATGTAGACCATATATGCTCATAAGGTGATGAACCTCTTTTCAGGATAGAATCTTTCAATACGATTTCTCAGCAACATTGAACAGAAGCATAACTAACTGTGAGCCTAATAGGTTGTTATCTGGTGATGCTTCCCCAAATGCCTTCAATAATGTAGACCCATTTGCAACCCCTGAATATAAGAATGTTCAGCAGACCATTGTACAAGTGCTAGGATACATACTGGTGAATCTGCATCCCAGGTTGATGTGGCTTCTCCAAGTCGGAAAACACCGCTATAGCCTTTAACCATTCCTTGGTAGCTTCAGAATCACGAGATCATTCAGAAAAGAATGTACAGCAAGTGCTAGAGATGGAGGGATTATAGCAATAGTACACAAAACAATTCTTTCAGAGTCCATCATATTTTATTTTATTTTCTCCAAAGCCTACTACACAGTCTATACTAGAGCAAATTTGAAGATAAGCGTAAGCCAGAGGACCATTGTCAAAGCATCCACAAGAATACGCTTTCCCCGAAAGATTAGACGATGTTACCTATCAACAATTTTGGTTGCTTTTCCTACACAAACAATCAACAATCCAGTTGCCATGGGGTCCAGAGTTCCAGCATGTCCAACCTGCGACCACACAAATATTGCAAAACATATACTTAATGTTAAGTGCTAACACTACATTCAGATACAGTGAAAAAACCCTGATATCACCTTTTGTACTTTCACCAAGCGCCGCAATTTTCCACAAACAGTAAACGAAGTCCATCCTGAGATTAGAAGAAAGACGAGTTCAGATGAATAGTTCAGGATGGAAGCAACAGAGCAAATTAATAAAACACCGCTCAAACCTAATCCTGTCCGCACATTAACTAATTATTATCTGCCCTGATAGGAAACACAATGCAGAACCCTGTCTTGAGGCAAAGCTGCAGTAGTGCCACACTGACTGATTGCCATGTAATTGTTGCGGCTCACATTTCACAAAAGGAACTTTCCAGTGATGCATCAGATAAAAGTAGCTAAAATACTACTGCTGTCTTAATCTCACACAGACGGCAACCTAGTACTGCCGATGATACATTTTGGTGAGAATCCCAGAACCTGCAATGCACCAAAGGAGAGGGGAAAGGCATCACCTTTGGGCTTGTCGATGAGCACGACGGTCCCGGCCGGGCCGTCCCACCTCGGCGGCAGCTCCGTGGTCCTGGTGACGAGGTACGGCTGCGGACGCTCCTCCTCCCTTGGCACCTCGCGCTTCACCTGCCGCGGCTCCGCTCCCGGTCTCTTGTCCTTGTTGCCGGCTTGGCCGGGGCCCTTCTTCAGAGACCTGAAGAAGTCTTCCACCTTCCTCTCCAGCACCTCCCCTTTGTCGTTGCTGTCGCCGCCCTTCTTACTGACCACCCGCTCCTCTCCCTCATCTTCCTTCTTCTCGTCGTCGAAGAAGACGAGGCACCTATCGGCGTCGGAGGCCGGGGCAGCGTCAGCAGAGACGAATGCATTGTCGAGCGACTGGTGGGGGAAGTACTTCTTCTCCAGGCGGTAGAGCATACGGTAGTGCTTGTCCTTCTCCCACGGCATAGCGAAGGTGTCGTGGAAGTAGAGCGCCTCCTCGCGCGCGTGCAGGCGCGGGAAGTCCACCACCTCCGGCCGGAGCTCGACGAATTCCGACGACGAGGAGGAGGGCTTGGTGGTGGTGGTGGTGGCGTCAGGGTCGGGGAGGAGGCGGCTGCGGCGCTTGCGGAGGTACCGGCGCTTGGCGCGGTCCAGCGGCTGCTCGTCGGATGCTGGCTGCGGCTGGCGGTCGGCCCCGGCGGCGTCGGAGGCGGAGGATTTGGGGGGATTGGGTTCCGCGGGGCGGTGCACGATGAGGTCGTAGTAGAGAGGGTAGGGAGTCGCGGTGAGCGAGAGGAAGCGGTGCGGGAGGCGGAGCAGCGGCGACGGGGAGGAGGAGGAGGGGGGCAGCAGCGCCGCCCTCGCCGCCGCCGCCATGGCTCCCGCTCGAGGAGGCATTCGTGTCCCCGCGGTGCGCGGGCCGCTTGCTATCGGTAGGGGGAGAGCCGAGTCATGCGGCAGCCCAGCCGTTGGATCTGCAGCGGATTAAAGCCAAGAGAACAGGGCGGATGTCCATGAGGACTCGCAGGTAAGAAAATGGACGATGACAATTAAAAACGCAACGTATAATATAATATAATAAAAATAAAGTTGATTTTTAAGAGCAATGTTTAAATCAGAAATCAGAGAATAAATAAATTACGGTAATACCACTATTAAGACATTCGAAAGGCCGGACGCCGCTCCACTCACTGACGCAACGCCTTCTTGCCTAAAAAAGCAAAATCAACTCCCGCACACCTCGCTCCGCTCCCGTCCTTACCCCTTCGGTGCTTGTCATCCCCTGCCGCAGCGCACCAATGCCCGATGTCCTCCCCCACTGGGAGCCTCCAACGATTGCAGATCCGGCGGCCCTGTCCCCCACCTCGTCGAGATCTATGGAGTAGGAGTGAGATCCACTCGCCTCTGGCGAGATCCATGGAGGTGAGGTGACGGTGTTGCAGGAAAGTGGGCGCCCTCTCATCCACCTGGCGTGGCGGCCTCTCCACCCCCGGCGGTGCCCTCTCTCACCCCGACGACCGCTCCCCCGACCTCGGCGGCCAAGGTGATCTCGCCTCCCATCCCCTACTGTCTCCGTCGAGCCAAACCCGGTATTGGTGGTGCTGGTGGTGGTGGTGCTCATGCACCGCCATTCATCGCCAGCTACGACCCCAACGGCTAGAATCGACTGGCACAGGCTCCCCTTCGTTATGTTGCAAATGTATGTTTCTGGTGTTTCAGTCATTTCAAAGGTATGTTGCAGTTATTTTTTATGGATGTTGGAAAAGTAGATCAGAGGATGTTGCATATGTTGTAAGTGTTTTAGAAGCATGTTGCAAACATTTGTTCAAAATATTTCATCTGTTTACAGACGTATGTTTCAACTGTATTTATCTGGATGTTGCATATGTTTTCACACATATGTTGCAACAGTATGTTTCAAATGTTTCAGTTGTTTCAGTCTTATGTTGCAGTAAGTGTTTTTTTCATGTTGCACTTGTTTTTATCTAGATGTTGCATATGTTTCATACACATGTTGCAAGCGTATGTCCCAAATGTTTTATCTGTTTTAAATGTATGTTGCATTCAAGTGTTTCTTTTTGCAAGTGCAGACCGTCGGCGTTGGTGTCCATGAGGGCGAGCAGGGCCAAGCCGCGGCCACCGACGCGTGGAGGAAGAGGTCGCGTGGCGCTGTCGTGGAAGAGGCGTTCCGGGCGGCCTGGAAGAGACAGGCGCCGTGCCAGTGTGGAAGAGGCGGGGGTGAGTCATCCAAGCAATATGGGCAGCGGATCTCAAGCAGACGGTTTAGATGCGAGCGCGGAAAACGAAGCGGTGACGTGCGAATCCGAGTGGATGGGATGGAGCATTCTTTGGCGTCCCGGACGCACACAGCATTCCGACCTCTACGTGCAAGTGCTGCCGATAAAATTGTGCTATAGAGCCACTATGTTTTTTCTTTATCGGCTTTCGATGACATGAGATCATCCATGGCATGATTTTAAAGCCCAACACGGGTCGAAACAACCCACCGTGCATTCAACCCGACACGCAGCCACCCAAATAGGTCCATGAGCCAAGGCTCAACACAGATTATGGTCTCCCTGGTCCCTCCCAGCTCTCGGACAACCAGAGAGGAAGGCACGATAGAAGGCCGTGGCTTCGTCACTACATATAAAGCACGGTATTTGTTGGGTGATTATGCAAGCGGTAGGTTGATGTGCCATTTTTAATAAACAACCTTATGTTAATGTTTTTTTTTCACCAACTAATAAATTTAGTGCCACGTGTTGGTTTGGATCGCCTAGCTCTACCAAACTCAAAAGTACATTTAGGTCCGTTTGGCATAGCTCAAGTGAAGTTGTTTTTAAAGTTTCACCTCAACTAAAAGCTTTAAATCCATTCACTTGGCTTATAAGTCGATTTTTTCAGCCAATGAATAGTATTTTTCTCTCACAACAAATCACCAACAAGATTTTCGGTCATGACTTATCACCAAACGAACATGCCATTTATCAATGAAGCTAAAGTTGTTTTTCAACCTGCTTTTGCAAAATAGCTCATGATGGGAGACAAAATGAATGAAATGACTACAATGGCCCCATTTTTCCCCTTTCCACTTTTTTTTTTCCTATTCTTTCTCCTACCCATCGGTTTCCTCCAAGAGTCACTTGCGCGCCAACACCTGCAAGCCCCGGTGTGACTCAAGGGCCCCAATGTCCATGAACGCCCATGAGCCTAGCCTCGCTTGAGGGTCGCGCGTGCCTCGCGAGCTCCGGCTGCCGCGAAAGTGCTCCATGAGCTCAGTGCGCGTGCCTCGCGAGCTCCGGCATCCACACGTGCCTCGGCGATGACGGCCGTGCCGCTGCACCTTGTCCCCCCCGCCACATGGCGCTCGCGCTGCTCATGCCCCCTAGCGACGATAAATCGCCGCCACCTATGGTCCAGTCGCTCCGTCTTCTTCGATGCGACATGTCTCTCCTTCATTAAATCGCACATGGCTCTCTGGCAGCCGCGCCGCCGCCACCCTCGCCGATCGCGCCCTAATGGTTACACCCCGTGGGCCACGCCCGACGAGCCGCACTCCCGGTGGTTCGCGGCCTCATGACGTGCCCGAGGCAAGCCACGCCCGACGAAAGCAAGCACCCCGAAGGTTGCGCCCGTGCAGCCATGCCCCATCGCCTCCCTCTTGCAAGCACATAGCTCTCTCTCTGCCTGGGCAAAAAGGAGTCTTTTGTGCATGCTGGGCCCCACATGTGTTAGGTGAAATTGGAATAAGCTACTTTTTCAGCTATCTTCCATCCCATCTTCTTGTGAGAGGAGGGAAAAACAGCTTCACCCATGAAGCTATTTTGAAAAGGGGTGTTTGAAAAAAAAAACAACTCACAACACCTCATGAAGTTGTTGGTGAAGCTATGCCAAACAAGCTCTTAATAGGTGTAACCCTCGCGATCTCTTTCTTATTCGACTGATATGAGTCAAGCACAAGTTTAGTCTCATGTGAAGTCATATATCGTGTTAATGAGGGTGTCCATTGTATGGATACACGTCAACTAAAATAATTAAACATTGGTGTTACTCCAAGAATCTACGGTCATTGAGCGTAGATTAACAAATTGAATTCGAGTAAAAGCTCGAATCAAGATATCCAACAGTTTTAGAAAATTTTATTGTATTTCTTTGAAAGCACGACAAACAATATCCTTTGGAAAATAATGGCAAAAATTCCAAGAGCCTTCCTTAGTCGCAAAGTGGCTCTAGAGTTTGAAAGTCAAGTTGTGGATGTGTTGTAAGATTCATAGGACTCACATGAACCTTTTGCAAGAATGATAAATTGAGCTGGCATCTTTGAATAACAAATGTACTCGACCCAAGCAAGAAACACAAATCTCACGGAGCAACAAAGCAATTATGCTCATAAAGAAGAGTGTTCCTAGGTAAACTTGTAATTATAGCCCACAGAGCCAATTTGTTTCAAGATAATCTCGCATTATCGCATAAGCATATGTGCTAAGAGTTGTGGCTTGAATCTTGCAAGCACTAAAACACTGACCATCTTCATGACCTCTATCGTGCTCCTCATTGTTGTCAGGACGGGATATCGATATATATAATATAGAGGTGCTAGCAAAATGTCAAGTGTGCATCATCTTACTTGATACCATCCTGTTAGTCTTGTGCTCCACCATGCATCCTCCTTTCGGCTCCGCCATCGGTGAACTCCCACTACATAGAGACCCTTATATATGAACCTTTGCTCATCATCAAAATACAAGACCTGTTTCTCGATTCCAAGACCAGATGTCGACACCATGGACGGACGCCAAGAAGTTGGCACCGATCTTTCCTCCCAAAGATCCTAACCGACCACTGGCGAGCCATGCCTCGTCGGCTCTTACTGTGTTATGTTCTGTTGGGACACGAGATAGCTTGGTCACGAAGGCTATCCTCCCCTCACATCTCTTCATCACACATCTAGCGGACTAAGCCAGAATATGGGCTGTCATGTTTATTTTGACAGGAATATTGCAGGGACCTTCGCCTACGACATTTGACCTTGCGAAGGTCCATGGCCAGCAGAGGCGTCTCGGCGAAGGCCCGAAGATTGCTTCAAGGCGGCGCCCGGGAAGAGGACGCGAAGGTCACTAGGGGGAAGACGATGAATCAACTCGGCGGCTGGAGATGATCGGCAGAGGTTAGGCCTTCACCTTTCATGGGTAGGGCTCCTGAAGGAGGCATGTGCTGCATAACCACTAGGCCTCCAGTGGGCTTAAAGCTAAGGCTCATGTGGCAAGGTGGTTGAGGGAGAGAAAATCTGATGTACCCCTAGGAGTTTATAAGTTGAAAGGTCCTTGTTGGTTTTGGTAATTGAGTGACAACCTAGGTGGACTAATTGTGTTTATGTGAGATACACAGGTGATTAGTCCACAGGTACATGTGTGTGAGCAACATATGCCATGAAGGTGAAAATGGCTTGGAGATGTTGCAAAGCTCACACATGTGATGATGAAGGAGCTTATTGCACATGAGACATGACATTGAGTCATGTGATCAAGGTGGAGAAGATCAAGACATGACTTGGCTTGATGGACCGGTTGCAAGCGTGAAGGGCAAGTCGAAGGCTTTGGAGTGATGGACCGCGTGGCGGTAAAGTTGAAGCAAGACTTGGCGCCGTTGGACGATGGCAACGGTGAAGAGCAAGTGGAGTCAAGATCGATGAACCAATATGATCATGTGATGATATGAAGTGGATCATATCATTGTTGATCGTGTTGGTGCATGTGTTGCATCGACATTGGAGGAGATGGAATGGAATGCGCATGGCAAAGGTATAACCTAGGGCATTTCATTTCACCGGTCATAGGTGTGTAGAGAAGTTTATGACCGGGTTTAGGATAGAT